ATTCATAAGAGCTGAAAAAATGTAAACAACCTAAATGTCCATACAACTTAGTACTATCTGGAAATAAAAAGCAATAAAGTACTGACGTACTGATATTTGCTATAACATGGATGAACCTTGAAAACACTATACTAAGTGAAAGAAGCCGGTCACAAAATCTACCCTCTGCTTGTGATGTTCCTCCTTCCTGTGGGTCTGCTCCTGGTTATCTTTTAAGTTACCGCTCAGATATCATCTACAGAGGTGCCTTCCCCTACCACTCTATTCCAGGTAGCCTCACCTTTCCTCTCCCAGTCACTGCCCATGATACTACACAGCCTCTGTTACTATCAGCTGGTTTGCTGTGTTCCCCTCTGCTAGCATATAAGCTTCTCAGGTCAAGAACTTTGCTGGTCTCAAAGGCATGGTATCATTAGCACCTCTCATGGTGCAGGCATGCAACACATTTGTTGAACCAATGAATACATGAAGTGTTGGAAATGCATGGCGGGACCTTAGATTTTATCTCCTCTCCCAACAGGAGGAGTGATTTAAGGCTCTTGGGAAAGGTAATGTGAAAGTACAAAAACAAAGTGATTTTATATAGTCAACATGTGAAGTGAGAGTGTGAAAAATATTACCAGCTCCACTTAAGAGATATAGAACCAAAGGGGTTTGACTTCTACCAACAGACAAAAATAAGATACAAAATTAAAAACAAAAATGCTTCTCCAAGATCACAAAATAAAGCTCCATTTTCTAACTCTTATTTTAAGAGATGAACTCTAAGTTCTAGGCTATTGACATCAACTTTTGTAATATTTCCCTATTTTTCTTCTCTGTTTCTCCCCGTTTTTTCTTTTTGATGCTACAGTACGTTTCTTTGCTCTGGCCTATTGTTCCTACTCTTCAAAGTGTCAGCCATATTTGAATGTGTGGTGACCTCTGGTGATTTATTCTTTGAAAGTAAATTCATATTTCACATTTTGATGCATTCTAGCATTTGCTTTTTAGAACCTTCGTTTTAAAATTCTTCTTAGAATTTGCATCACTTTTCAGATCAAGAGCCTGTACTGCATCTAGAGACACTTAGACCACTTTGCTCTTATGAGATGATGAGGAATATATCTTAACTTCAGTTTTTTAACTTCTTTTGGAATCACAGACCCTTTGGGGAGCCCAGCGAAGATGGTGGACTCCCATCTCCCCTCATAAAACACCTACATACCCACACGTGAACACACTGTATCCAATTTCAGTCCTGTTCTGGATTTCTGGCTTTAGTGCTTCAAGGAACAATCTCAGCTCAAAATGTACCCAAATTGGTTAATCTTAGGTCTAGGACAAGGCAGCAGCATTTAAAAGTAAAAATTGGCCAGGTTTCTTGCACTTTTCCCCTTGTGGCATTGCTCACAGGCTGTTCCCCTGGTGGAATTCCTGCCTTGGTCTGCCTTCTAAACTGTTCCAGGATAAGTTCTCTCTCAGTCACTCACCGCCTGGTTTTCTCTGCCCACAAGATTCACGAGAAATAGAAAATAAAGTAAAGCTTCATATGGCCAGAGTGGTCATATGAACAATGCCAGAATATTTGGTGACCCTGTCCTGCTCATACTGCCTTCTCAGCACAAGGAAAAAGGGGGCCCCACAAAGCTCACCCTCTTTCTGCCATATTAGGATACAATGAGAAGTCAGCAGTCTGCACCCCAGAAGAGAGCTCTCACCAGAACCTAACCATGTTGGCAACCTGATCTAGTATTTCCAGCCTCCAGAAGTGTGAGAAATAAATTTCTGTTGTTTACAAACCACCCAGTCTGAGGCATCTTGTTATAGAAGTCTGCACTAAGATACTAACTTAATAGAAAAAAATTTAGTAGTGTAGACAAATCTATTAGAGTCCTAAATTATATGTATATATACATGTATATGTGTGTACGTATATATGTGTATATACTATATGTAATATGCATATATGTATATATATGGCAGTATTAAATTCAACAAACATATTAAAATGCATTTTAAAATTTAGAAAAATGAATATGTCTTTTTGGCAAAATATTTTTTGACCACATGAAAAATTCCTTACCTACCATCTTTGGATTAATTCTTTCTTATCTCATGGGCTCTCTTGCCACATTTTCTTTACCTCTCCTCACATTGCCATCCGCGGCATGCGGGATCCTCCCGGACCGGGGCACGAACCCGCGCCCCCTGCATCGGCAGGCGGACTCCCAACCACTGCGCCACCAGGGAAGCCCCACACCATGTTTTCTTATTAGTTCTCTGGCTCCTCTGCATCGATGACCATTGGTGACTAACACTACTACCTATACGGTTGTTTATTATCCGGGTATATATCACATTACAAAGGTGAAAATTTATAGGTATGAGTACTCTATGTGCCTCTTGCCAAATAGTTCTTATTCCAATATGAAGATTACTTAGAATTGCTCAAAATCCTGAGTGCTATTAACATCATCGGCAAAAACATTCTGAAGCCAATTTGGCAATATACATCAAAATCCTTAAAAATCTTTTTTTAAAAATAAATTTATTTATTTATTTTTGGTTGCGTTGGGTCTTCATTGCTGCACGTGGCCTTTCTCTAGTCATGGCGAGCAGGGACTACTCTTTGTTGCTGTGCGCGGGCTTCTCCCTGCAGTGGCTTCTCTTGTTGTGGAGCACAGGCTCTAGGTGCTTGGGCATCAGCAGTTGCGGCACGCGGACTCAACAGTTGTGGCTCACGGGCTCCAGAGCACAGGCTCAGTAGTTGTGGCGCACGGGCTTAGTTGCTCCGCGCCATGTGGGATCTTCCCGGACCAGGGCTCGAGCCCATGTCCCCTGCATTGGCAGGCGGATTCTTAACCACTGCGCCACCAGGGAAGCCCAAAATGTAGGTACTCTTTAGCCAAGTAATTCCCCTTTCAGGATTGCGTTTTAAGGAGATAATAATATACTTAGCAAAGGATAACTATAAGGATATGAATCACAGTGGTGCCAAATAATTGGAAAAGAGTCAATTGTCCAATAATAGAAAATAGTTACTTATGTTGTAACATATCTATACTAAATATAATGCTCTCTGTATGTTAAACTAATGATATAGAATATTTAATAAGTTGAGAAAATGTTAACAATATATACAGCTAAAAATTAGGTTCCAAAGCTGTATCTTTGGTGGAACCCTATTGTGACACCGTCATTTCATCCACAATCTATTCCAGCCCATCCCCACTGAGTTGCAGTCACGTGATTTGGGTAGCATTTACCCCACTCTCAGCTCCAGGAGTCAGCGTTGTTGGATTTAGCCAATCTTCTGGCTGTAACAAGGTCTAAGCCAATTAGCACATCCACAGTCCTCTGGCTACAGAGGCTGGCCAAATCAGCATGCAACTCAGGACTCCTGTTTTGCAGTTGGGAGAATGAACAGTCTTTCTCGCTGTATAAGAAAAAACAAGTACACGGTCCTGGTTATCTTGGGCAACTATTCCACTACATGAGGAAAACCAGCCTGAGGTTGAAGAGTAGTTGAGAACTGCAGAGTAATGGATCTGGAGCTTTGATAAATCAGGCTGAAGCCTAATACTTCCAGATGTTTTCAGGTGCAGAACCAATAATTCCCATTTGCCACTTTACCTAGCATGAGCTTTGTTTTCTGTACTTGCTATCAAAAACATCCTAACTAATATGGACTCTAAGTAAAAACAGTATTTATTTATTACAAAGCTAAACAAAAAACTATCAATAATAGTTGTCTCTTGGTGGTAATTTATTACTGATTTTTTCCCCTCTGCTTTGTGCCTTTCTGTAATTCCAGGTTTTCTATAATGAATATGTATGTTATTTTATTCAGGAACCCCCCCCCCCAAATATAAGGATAATTAGAATTGTAATAATAATCATCATTTAAGCCAAAACCATCAGATCTTTTTGTGGATGGTGATAAGACAAAGTAACTCTTCAAGTGAAGGAAAATAATTTATTTCCATTTTTATACCTTTCAGAGTCATGAATGTAAAGTTCTTACTCCTAAGAATCTTATTAATGTCTTCTAATAAGTTTATTAAAAACTACAAATCTAATTAGTTCAAGATCACGGCATCAGTAAAACTTGGTTTTAGGTGTACCGATGTTCAGGTAGAGAGGCAGTGTGGGCATGGTGGAAAAAACACTAGGCTTGGAGTCCCAGCTCTCCCATTTCCTGGCTATTTGACCTCAGGCAATTACTTAACCTCCCTGAATCTTAATTACTTCAGGTAAGAAACTGTGGGTTGGACTAAATGTTATCTACCATCTTTGCATTTGTGAAATTCTGTATTTCTATAAATGGCTCTATATTTCTATAAATACTTTATATTTGAATAGAACTGATAGGCACTGCCTGCTTTGGGAAGTATAGGTAGGTTTAACTCTCATTACAACTTTGATAGATTCGTAGAGATTTCTGCAAAGCTGTGTTAAGAAGGTTTCTGAGGGTTCATATGGACTCAGC